TGCCATAAATGTATATTATTTAGATCATTTGAGTCTTTTAGCATTTATGTTATATATGGGAGTTTCATTATGTTCCAAACATAAAAAATATCATCAATCAAAACATTTCCATAAAACAATTCATCATTTTAAAGAACAACTATTATTCTTAAATAAAATGAAAAATATCCTATTTCAAATTAGAAATGGAAATAATGTTCATAGCTCTATACTAGGAAAACAATAATAGCTATTGAGTTTGAGAACAAGCCCATATGGTAGTGTTAACTCATAGATGCTTAAAACTAATGGTCCAACTCTTGATCTATTGCTAATGTGTAGGCCATCCTCCCTTAAAGCAATCTTCCTTCTCTTTGTAAGCTCTTACACATTTATATAAATGTAAGCACCACATCTAGTATCATATACTTATGAGGTGAGATTAGAAATAGAAAAATTAGCTATAATAACCTAAATACTTGAAGTTGTCGTAGGAATCTTCTTTTTCACTCTTTAAGGTACTCCTTGTAGTTGCGTTTCCAATACCCTTTCTTATTACAATGAAAATAGACTATATCCTTTGGGCTATTCTAAAGCTCAAGCTTTTTCACTCTTCTAGTATGCATAGAAGACTTCTTTTGGGTTGCTTAGGCTTTTTCTTACCCTTTACCATGCTTTTTTCCTTATTAATAAAAAGTGTAGAACTTTTTTCTTCTTATTAACCTTAGGCTAAGCCTTCCTTAACATGGACAATAACTCTTCAAGAGTCTTTTCCATGTGCATCATATTAAAATTCAAGATGAATTGTCTAAAGTCTGGTTGGCAATGATTAGAATACTAGGTCAATTGATAATTCAAGTATCCATTCCAACTTGAAGCACGGCTAGCTTGTCAATATAGTTTATCATCTTAATAACATGCTTTTCAATGTTGGATCCTTTATCCATTATAGCTCTAAAGAGCTTCTTGGCTATCTTATAATGCTTATGCCTAGTATTCTCATTGACTAAATTTTTAACCTTTGTTATGATATGAAAAGCGCTCATGTCGTTATGTTGGACCTATGCTCTAAGTCATAGCTGCCAAGCATGATATCCCAAAAGATGATCACATCATCCTTATGTTTGACTCATGCTACATAAGCTTCGACTTGATCCTAAGAAAGCTCAATTAGGAGATGTGTCTTTGTCATTTAATGAATCTTCTAATGTTAGAGGACTATCCTCATTTTTTTTCTAATAGGGGAAGTTTATGTCATTGAAGGCATTATTTTATCAATAATTGATCATATCAATATATTGCCGATCATATTATATAATATGATAGGATAGAAAAGCGTACGATTTGGTTAATTCAATTACATTAATAAAAACAAAGCATGAATTAAGAAGTAAAATCCATGTTTGCTTTAGCCATTTTTTTCATGTTCTATGACCTTGAATACGGGACTTGAGAAAACTTTTTGATTTAGTTTCCTTAGTGGGTTAGGATCCCATCCTCTAACATCCATTAATCTTGAGTTATCTCAACAAGACATACATAAAGGATTAGGTACGTAACTCATTACCAATTGTATTCAATGCAATTTCTAATCTCATTGGCATGAAAACTCCTTCTCATCTCATATCTTATATGAATACCAACCTTTACGTACAAATTGATGAGCCTTAAGTTATCTTAACAAACCCAATAATTTATTTCAAGTTATAGCCAAACGTTCGAGGACATCGCATGGGCTATGATTTAATTCCTTTGAGGAAGAAGTGACCTTAAGTTATTTTAACAAGTCAAAAACAATCAAGAGATTTCTCTCCTCATAACATTAAAAACCAATTACTTAATATTAATTTAAAGGAGTTAACATGGTAGGTCTCATCATTTTATCCAAGCATACATATTAGATATTAATCGCATCAATCCTATCATGCATACTATCAATTGCACAATAAAGTATGTAGGAATTCAGCCACATACATGACTCAAGAATTGATGAATAGTAATGGATTTCTACTACTAGTCCCTTAGAGCCATTAAGAGACTAGTGGGTCAAAAATCTAGGTAAAAAATTATTATAAATTATTCAAAATTATCTTCTCTTCTTAGCTTCTTTTCCTTGCATCTTTTACTTTTACATTTCTTTGAATGAGAAATATTGAGTTACATTAGAGGAGGTAAAATGAGAAGAGAAATACATCGAATAATAGAAAAGGCAAGACATGCGAGCCATATTTAACAAAAATTTATTAGCATACATTTTCAAAAACTAGGTTGACATATCCATACCATTCACCCATGCTTCAATCATATTCATACACGGTAATCAAATGAAACACATTTCATGTTAATCATAGTTATAAGCCTATGGTGTAGTTATTTTATAAAACATTAAATGTTTCCAAATTTTAAATTTTTTAGGCCTTAGGCCCATAGGCTTGTGGGCCTCGAGGGACTATGGGCTAACATGTCATAGTTGATTAGTACCTAGCATTAGCCAATAGTTGCCATTGACCTACCATGCTCATAGGCACCTAGCCTAACACTAGTAGCACTAGCCTTGGTCGGCTCGTTGGCCATCGTCCAACACTAGCCTAATCGCCCATAAGGCACTAGCTTGATGCCTATTGACTCGGTGCCAATTGGCCTAGTGCGTTTATGGGTGCTTAGCCTAGCACTTGGTGTGCTTGCATATGCCTACCCTCTACCTAGTACTCTTAGCCTAGCACGCTTGTACGCATCTAGCACTACCATCGAACATGCTTGCATACACCTAGCCTAGTACTTAATGCATGAGCACGCTTGGCCTTGCACATGTCTAGCATACACTTGGTCATGCCCCAAGCCTAGCATGTCCCTAATATAGGTCCGGCCTTGCCACGGTGCCTAGTACGTGCCTAGGGCATAACTAGTTTGGCCTTGCCACGGGCCTAATGCATGCCCGAGCACGCTTGGCCTAGCCTTATGTGTGCTAAGTATGCATTTACTCTTGCCACAAGCTCGATGGGTACCAAACATGTGTTTGGCCTTATCACGAGCACGGCAAGCACCCAGCATACACCGAGCCTACTTGTTGGTGTGCGTCCATGAGCACCAATATTCGACATTTGTGCCCATTTTTTTTAGCATAAAATTAGTTTTGAAATCATTAAAAAATGCTAAAAACCTTAGATTTATAATCAAAAAGTGATAATTCAAGTAGTTAATCACAATTAACATAACATAAAATTAAAGATTCAATAAAGGCTATGATACCCACCGAAGGATCATACATCCCGTGGAGGTATGAAATAAAATAAAATAAATTTCACCATCGAAGGCTCCAAATATTATGCCATTGAATTAACTAATCATACATATATGAATAAATAAATAAAGCAAACGTTTACCATTTGTAGCATAGAAACTATCTATGCGAAAAGATGTGATTCAAGTGTCTAGTTTCTATTGATAATCCATATAGCTCAAATATCCATAAGAGAAGCTACAAAAATCATAAAGTGTTAGCTCCAATCCTTATTTATAGTTAAGTTTTTCTTTAATAAATCAATTAGAGTTTTTTGTGACAACCTTAAAGAGAGAGGTATGTGTGGCAACTCAAGCTTTAAGGAGAAAACATTTCTCTTTTCTTTTTTCATATTGATATATTTTTCTTTTCTTTTTCCTTAACTCCACTTGTCACCTCTCTCATCCCTCTTCATATAAGGGGGGTAATTTCTCTTCATAGATCAAGGAGATGTTACATATGTGGGCTTTGTCTAACCTTATCCTTATAAACCTAGAGCCTTATCCAATAGGGCTTAAGTTTATCCTTTTGCCAAAATATTTTACATGCTCTTAAATTAAGCCATTAGTCAAAAGTCTTTTGGCCTAATTAATTCTAATTAAGTTATACCATTCAAATAAATTAGGTCAAATATTTTAAGAGGTCTATATTAGAAAAAAATTTCTAAAATTACTCTTAAACCTAAATTAGGAAACTAATTATCAATTCAATTACTAATAAAACTCTAACATCGCTATTTATAACTAAAAGGTAAGGTTACATAACACACATGTTTGCTTAGTAAAGACACATAGCTTATTCTTCATTTCACCCATCTTGGAGCCTCAAAAGATTGGTGTTGCATAGCTTGATAAGCATAGACACACAACCATATGGATTTGTTCTTCATTACGTGTAACTTCTCTCTACTCATGTGGACTTCTTTGAGCTTTGTGAGACACGGATCTATCTCTTTTCAATGCATTTTATGTGGAATGCCTTTTACCCATATGTTGTTTTTTTCTTTTAGAAGGTATTTTAGCTTTTACATAAGCACGGTCGTGTCACTTTCCTTCCTCTCGTTGAGTAGAAAGTTATTGTCCATGTGGCTTTGTTGTTGAGCAATCCACACAGTTTCTTCATTAGTATCACATGGCCAGTAGCTATTTTTCTTTGTAAATGCCATGGTCATGTAACTCTTTTTTAAGCCTCCTTCGTGACTTTTCTTCTCCGTGCTTTGGCTTAGGTTCCTTTACTTTGATTTTGTCATTTTTCCTATAAAATCCAAAAATATTATCTTGATTTTAATTTATTAAATATAACATAATAAGAATTAGAAATTTTAATGTAATAAATCATAAAAATTATGTTAATTATGCACTCATCACACATCCGAGTGATATATTCTCTAACATTAGTCACTTTAGTGCTTGCTTTGGCATCACCATGCTAATAGGTGTAAGATCTCCTACTACTATCTTATAACATAAGCATAACACTCACAAGTCTAATCATATATAGTCAATGTCCATTCTTCATAATGCTATGACTTGAGACATTTAATGATATCACACCTTTCAATCAATCACTAATGCAATAAATATTATATGAACTTTTATTTAATTCTATCAAATTGTAAAAAACAAGAATTAATAGAAAGACTTTTTTGATTAATAAATAAAAAATGTAATATTACAATAAATCAAACTATCTAAAAAAGTTGAATCTTTGGTACTTACACAAACACTAGCCACCATCTCCATCAATTTCTTCCCCTCATACCGCCATTAACACTTTCCTTCACACTACTAGACCTATAATCATCTCCATCAATCTCTTTCATCTTTTCCCGACCACACTCTAGCTCCTTCACTATAGTTGCTTCCTTCATACCATTATAACTTGAAGCTCTCTTTTTTAAACCGCAAATGACCTTAATTCTACCCTTTTCTATCATACGGTAACCATAAAAAATTACACTATTCTCTAACTCAAAACAGTGAACCCATTTACCCATTTCATACAAAACTCTATAGCCACCAACTTTACCACCATTATCTTTGTCAAAATCACACTCTATAATTAGTTACTGCCATTGAAACCATACCCTAACCATTGACCCACTTAGCCAATCCCTTGTCATATTCCCTATATGAATCCCTCATCCTAGCCATGAAATTGTCCTAAAACATCATCAACCAATGTAAGGCCCTTCCTTCATTTAGATCTTGCCACCTCCATCACATTCCATTTCATGTTTCCAGCTAACATCATTACATCTCAAAATGAGGTAGCTTGTCAAAATCTATGTTGTGTGACTTAAAGCTCAAGTTTTTTTTTTTTTTTATAATGTCGAGACAAAGCTTGAGTTTAGAGAAAATCATCTAGTGATAACTTCTTTTGCTATGCTTTTAGCTAGTACTATTGGGATTGAATCATTTGTTCTTTTCAAATGAGTGTCTAATGCAAAGAAGATGAATCCCTTTAGTATTGCTCTCCATTTGTTAATTACTAGCGTATCCAAATCCTAATGACCTTCTTTCATCGAAGATTGCCTATATGTACCAGCTATACCGAGCCCAAATATGGAGCCATTACTCGTAGCCGGACATAGAGATGGCCATTGGTGGTGGTTATGGAGACTGCTCATTGCTTGGACACATAAACATGCCATGGGTTGTAGTTATGGAGACAATGTATCATTAAAAGAAAAAAAAGGTCAAATGGCTATTGTTGTGAAGGGATCTAGTTTGTTATTGATTAGGTGAAGTGATTGTCTACTTACAATGGATATTGTGATGAAGCTATAGGTGTAAGGGTAGTAGGAGCACTTTTTTTTTTTTTTTTGAGGGGTAAAGTGCTAAGTTTCAAAATAAGGGGGTAGTTTTGTCTTTTTCATCGAGAATGATAGTTTGGTTATTCCAAGGGGTGTTTTGGGTCATTTTTATGACCATTTGATTTGATCTCTTGTTCCTATTTTTATTATTTTATTATGTTTTTTTTATAATAATTTTTAGTTTTTTGGATGATGGAACACTTAGAGATATTTATGTTTTGAAATTTTAACATATGATCTTGATTCAATCATGATATTGAACCAACGAGTCTACTATTTATTAGGGACAAAAGATGATTTTGATATGTTTTATCCAACAATAACAATGTTACAAAAATATATAATAATAGGGAATCAATTTAGGTTAATTTTGTTTAACATTTTGTGTAAATATTTTAATTAATTAAGTCGTTACTCAACATACCAATCATGTCAAGATTTTAATTCGGATTCAATGCTAAATTGATAAGACTCTTAAAACTTGGTGCCAACGTTAATTTAATATGATGTCACAAAAATAAAAATAAAAAAAGATACCAAAAAATGATTTCGATGATATTCTTTTCATATGCCTTTAAATAAAATACCTTCGAGTTTAATTAAGAAAAAGAACAAAAAAGAAAGAATTTTAAGCAAATTTAACGAGTCTTCTATCTAATAGAGATGAATGTTATCAAAATAAACCACTTTAGTAATTAGGTTGTTCTACGAGCATAATAGTTATATTGAAACTTAAAGTTAGATTTGATGTTGAATCAACATGTTCTCCGATGGAAGGGTCCGTCGATTGGTTCAATAAGATGCTATAAATAAAAATAAAAAAGAAATTGATTTGATTTAGATAATAAACTTGAAAATTTACTAAGTAATATTTTAGCAAAAATAAAACTTTTAGGGATATATTTTAAGACTAAACTAGACATAGTGTCTTTTAAGAAAATTTCATTTTTGGTCATCGATATCTTTTCAAAAGCATAACCTACTCCTTATCCTAGAATCTCAACTCCAATATCCATTTTAGGTTTCTATCTTCTTTAATGCTAAGTGGCGACTCCAAAATCAATAATAACTCATATCCCTAAATAAACAAAATTTTCAACAAAACAAATCTTAAATCATAGAGATACTTATATAAATAAATTTATTCAAGAGTCCTACGAATGTCGGATAATGATAAAATGATGACTCCACTAGAGAATATAATTAGCTCATAGGTTTAGTCTTGTCTAATTTATCTTTTTTGTTTTTTTCATTTATTTTGCCAAGTCATTTATTTTTCAAGTTGTTTATTTATTTTATTTCTTGCATAGACTTTGAATCTTTTAATTATTATAATCTATTTTCTTTTAATTCATGTATATATTTTATGTGAATTGAGTTAGATTTGTTTGCCATGAACTATTGCACACACCATAAAAGAAGCATGCAAAATCTCTAGACTCGATCTAAAACCCTATTAGGGTTTAGATAGAGAGATTTAAAGGCTAGTACGATGAATGTTTACTAATACTCTTTTGAAATTTGATTTGGAATGGAAGTCACCCTATATATAGGAAATGATGCATTAACCTTTTCCTATCTTTTGTTGCATAAGGTTAGGTCGTTGGATTACCCCACGGGTAATTTAGATAGTCCAAAAACTTAAAAAGACTTCGGGATTATATAAGTTTTGCCTAAACCTAAGAAAAGCCGGATCATATTTATGAGAATTGACCTTATAAGACACGAACTATTTTTGTGAGATTGCTCTATTCTAACCCTTAGTTTCACAAGTTATCTAAAAAAATCATGACGAGAGAATGCTATTGAGGATTTTAGGATCATATTAGAATGGGCCTAGTTTGAGGAGGGAGGTTGTGTGTATCCACGGACTTTGTGGTAAAGTTGTAAAAAAAAAAAATGATGCCCGAAAGCAATGAGTACACAACTAAAGATGAGCTTATACAAGATTCAAAAACCATATAGTCCCTATGACCTCAAGCTTAAGTCCGAAATTTTGAATAGTTAAATAAGAATCTATTTGCAATATAAGTATTACAAACATTGTAATCTAAGTGGTTGTAACAATTAATTATAAAAAAAAACTATATCATTTTTATTCTTTAATGAAAGGTGGCTCTAAGTCATATTTAGAATGTGCTAAAAGTCCAAATTTCAAATTCTTCTATGTATGTTTTCATAAGATACTCTTATCACTCGAGGTCCTAACCAAAAGAAATAATGTCATTCAAAAATCTAATATGGGGTAGATATGTTTCTCAAATTGTCTAAAGCATCTATGAGATTATACCCACGAGTTAGTACAAAAACCTAATCCGACCCATCATTAGTACAAACTCTATCGATTTGAAGTCTATAACAACAAAATAATGCATCTAATAGGTTCACATCATACATGTGTATACTATATATTCATTGTAAATATCTATCTTGAGTTTGTTTACATGATCCGAAATATATGTTGCCTCGCCAAAACTCGACTTCTCTCATACATATGTTATGCTCGGCTTAGGTGAGGCTAGATGGAAATTAAAGAGAGAGCATAGTGGAAAAATGCGCACCAATAAAAAAATAACTCCATAAAGGAGAAAATTACTGATTTGTTTGAATTAATGAGAAGGCATTATTCGAATTACCAAGTGGTGGGGACACATCAAACCAAAGCCAAACTTAGGTTTAAATTTCTATTCATCCTTCCAATAACAAACTTTCATCTTAGGCCATCTACTATTCCATTCACAAATCTAAAGCAACCATATTTTATGCTGAAGCATCATTCCCTACTCGGGCCATTTTCATATACAATGGCTCCACGAGTTCCATCGATGTACGGTACATTTGGTGCGGACATCAATGTTGAAAAAGTTCATAGGACTAAGGCAACAAAAGAGTTTATTTTAGACAAGCTATTAGCAATCAAAGAATGATTCACGACTACCAAAAGCATCGATATGTATGAGTTGGTGTGAGTTGTTGGACTAGGCATAGTATCAAATATAGAAATTCCTAAGAAATTCGGAGTTCATGAATTCATCAAATATATGGGCCTTTAATATCCAATGACTCGTGAGTATATGGTAGTAAGATGGTCGAAGTTGTGAGAAGTTACTAATACATTTATTCCTCAAGAGCTTGAGTAGATGTACTTTGAGGAGGCACATGAGATTGGATAGTGCCAAGATTAAGACATTGAGAGGTCTAGTTGATGCTTTCATCCAACGAAAAAAATTAATAGAGAGGATGCTCCAAATTTATTAGACCTACAAGGTATGAAAATAGGGATATGGGCCATTAATATCAACATTTGTCAATTCATTCATCCACCAAATACTAATCACCATCTCCTATCAAACACTATACTCCAAGCATCTAGTTATGAATTCCTTCTTCAATCTCACCAATATCATCGTTAGAAGGACAAAATAGGTAATTAAATCTTGAAAGTTTCTCTAGAGCGAAGATACCAAATGGCATGGTGAAATATATCGGATTAGGACAAAATCAACTCAATCTAGGGCAATCGAGAAAGATATGGAAACCATGAAAATCCTATAACACCTAAAGCCTTACCTCTACCCTATAGAAACCCAACTCAATTTGAAAAAAAAAAAGCCCAAACACAACCGTAACTAAAAACCAAATGCAACCTTATTCCAAAAATCAAGCCTACCAGTCATATCTACCAAATCAGCCAAACCAGTCATATTTGCCCAATCAAACTTACCAAACATGTTGTTTCCTTTGAAATGTTCCACCACACAAGACCACAAACTACTCTACCTTAATTTTTCTTATTAGATGAAACATTTGAGCATCCGGTATTTATTGAATAAATCATTCCAATGTAGCCTTACTTGATAAAACCCCTTTATCTAGAACAAACCAAGTGAGAGACATGAATGTCAATCATGTGATGTTAGGTATAACACCGATGATTGTCCAACTTTTAAGAAGAAGCTATTGAGTATGATCAAGTAAGGTTGGATCAGTTTTGATAGTGGTCCGAATGCTCCTAGTATGAACATCAACCTACTCATAAATCATCTAATTGTCCACACATGAGTTGGAGATACCGAGTGAGTTTCAAAAAATTTAATACATGCTCATAATTTACAATTATGATATTTTAATTTTATCAAAGTTTAAACTCTATTTTGAGGAAAAAAACTAAAAACAAGAACAACATATTTTGGCTATGCATAGATTGTGTCATGCCTTTGAATGAAGGAGTAACTTTTATTCACTTCCGTAATTTCATATTATCCGATTTGAAACAAAGAGATGTTCATTTAAAAGTATTATTGAACATTACATCTTCTTCCATTGAGAAAATATAATGATAAATTCATTCAAAAATATTCAAAAGATTGATCAACTTTCATAGCATAACGAGATAGATACCAAAGATAATCCATCAATTCATTGAACCCGATAATATATTCTCCTTTCCTCATAACCCTTATGAGCAAAAAGTAGCAGGCAAGCCCCGTATTACTGAAATAAAAAAATAAATACTTTCTATTTTCTAAATAAAGTCTTGAAAGAAAATTTTGCTAGAAAAAAAATCTTCAAGACCAAAGTTTAAAGATCAAATGATTAATATTCTAAATAATGATGAACAGTAAATCTTTAGATCATCACCTTAAATTACATCATCATTTTTACTCTTTCATTAACCTAAAGGTTTTTCAAATTAATCATTATTTTTCAAAGAGATTAAGATTTATTTGTATAGACACATTAGCCTTTGAGATGTGAAAAGGCTATCTTTTAAATATCTCACAAAATTCTTATCCCTTGGCATGGCATTTTAAGTCTTGATAATTCCTTTAATAATA